AGAGAAGATCAAGAAATTATCCAATTCATTTAATCAATGTTCGTAGTCAATTGGACAACCCAAATGAAAACTTCCACTGCAGGGCTTATCAGTTGGGTTATCTACAGTTATTAAATGCCCAGATCCTCACTTAATTTTGGCTCAGTCTACCTGAAGCCAAAACATGTATTCACACCTTTATATTCAAATTGTTGCTCTTTGGGGGATTCCCATTTAGTTCCACTGATCCTGTGTTCACTTTTTCTATGTAGATCTAAAGAGCTCATTGGTTCTGACGGTTTATCTCATTAAAATTTCAGCCTTGCAATTAGCCATTTATGGTCCTAGTAACCTTTTAATAAGGCAGGGATTCCACAGTCTCTTCCCAGTGCACCCCCCCCCAAAAAAAACACCCATTCAATTTGATCAACCCAAGCAAAAAAATAAATAAATAAAACAGTTCATTCAATGAAAAATTCTGCCAAACTGTTATGTGGCATCTTATAGCCAAAACAACAAGCTGCCTGGATTTTTCACTTTTCAAGAGGCAGTGTGGCATGTCTATGGCTGGACTTGAAGCCCCAACAGACATGGGTTCATATCCCAACTCTGACACTTACTGTGTGACCATGGGTAAGTTGTTTAATCTACTCGATCTTTAGGCAACTCGATCTTTGACTGAGTTATAGATGGATTGCAATATGTATTGGTGCAGAGAATTTCCGCACCAATGGAATCAACCATGGATCCTTGATATACTGATGTATTACAATGCTATAACATTGTACTGATCTATATATTTCTGAACCAAGTAGACATGTACACTTGCATCCATATGTAGAAATATACACAGTAACAGAATCGTTACATTCTGATCATAACTCTTGACTAAACTGATTATCTGCAGTCTATTCAACAACATGGTAATAATAATCAGTTGGGTGTAAGTAAGCTTCTTGAGGACAGGAATTGTTTCATTCTTATCTTTGCATTCCCAGGGCCTAGTGTAGTGACTGCTACACAGCCATTTAATGCATGTTTGTTGAACTGAACTGAACTAGTCAATTGAGGTCTCTAATGAGCAGATGGACCAGGGCATTCAGTCTACCTAATGAAAACAGACTGGTGGCTGGAATAGTCCCATAATGGTTCTACTACAAAATATATGGGCTTGCAGAATGCAAAGTCATGTATTAGATTTGCATTTTGGCAAATAAACCTAAAAAGCACTTAAGAAGCAACAAAAGGACTTCATATAAGAAACTGTAAATACAATTGGCCCATTTTGCCAGTATTTGTCTACAAATCAGTGATCGATAAAATCACTACTTGTAGCTCTCAGTTAGGCAGTTCTTCCATGAAGACCAATCTAGCTCCCTAGCCATGGAAAAGTATATCCTTCACATTTGTGGAGCTTTACACTTGTCAAAGCACTTCTCATGGATTAGGCTGGTTTGATCCTCACAACAATTCTGTGAGGTCAATAGGGCAAGTTATTATTATTGCAATTTGACAGATGAGGAAATTGAGGCATAGAACCATTAACTTATCTATGGCACATAGCTAATTAGTGGCAGATCTGAGATGAAACCAAATTATAGGACTATAGATTTAGATCTAGAAAGGACTTAAGGGATCATCTTGTCCAGTGCCTTCATTTTGCCGGTAAAGAAGCTAAGGGCCAGAGAAGATAAGTCACTTCCCCAAGGTCAGACAGTCAGTGGTGAAAGTACATTTGAACCCAGGTCCTTTCCACAACCTCATTCTGCTTCCTTGTGTCATAGAATTATAGATCATTAGAGCTATAAAGAGGCAAGCATGCATTAAGCACCTGCTCTGTGCCAGGCACTGTAGTAAGTGCTTTGCAAATATTGTCTCATTCAGATAAGTAGACTGAGGCCCAGAGATAAAAGGATTTGCCCAAGGTCATAGTTAGAACTAGAGCCAAAACTCAAATATTGATTGATGTTAGAGTTGAATAATAATAATAATAATAATAATAATAATAATAATAATATCATTTTCATAGAACCTTAATTTTTGCAAAGCACTTTTCAATATTTTCTCATTTGATCCTCACAACAATCCCGAGAGATGTGTTAATATTTTACCCATTTTACAGATAAAGAAACTGAGGCAAACAGCAATTATGTGACTAGCTTAGAGTTACAAAGCTAGTAAGTATCTGAAGCCATATTTGAACTCAGATCTTCCTGATTCCAGGTCTAGCACTCTACTTCTCCACCTAGCTGCCTTCTCTTCTGCTTCTCCTTCATTGTACCTTGCTGCCCTGTATGACTTTAGAATTAGCCAAAAAAAATTTCAAATTCCAAAAACTTATTTAAGATTGCTCTGTATATACAAAGGAAAAATCTAACTGGATAACCTCTCAATGCCCTTAGCAAGGATTTTCAAGGTAATTCAAGACAACAAGCAGTTATGTTAAGTATGTACTATGTGGCAGGAACCAGGCCAAGTGCTGGGGATACAAAGACAGCTCCAGCCTGATCACCAGAGTTCACACTCTACTTCCACTGGATTTGAGAACCCAAGATCACCTCCAAACTACCAAGAGGCCCTAGACAATAACTTTATTTAAAGATGAGAATACAATGCTTGCCCTTAAAAAGCTTATATTCATTATACATGAACTGTCTATAGACAAAGAGCACAGCAACCCCCTTTTTGGCATGGAACCAGGCTGGAAACTTGGATAAGTGATTTACGTAAGGTCACATAGTTAGTATGTGTTTGAGTTAGGATTTGAACTCAAGTCTTCCTGATTCCAAATTCAGGTGCTCTATCTATGCTCACAATGCCCTCATCAGTGAGAATCTGAAAGCTCAGGGGTCACACAGATACTAGGGATCAGCAAATGTAATTCTCACATGAAGAACAAACCTTGATCCTTCAAAGGTCTTCAAAAGATCTTCAAAAGATACATGACTTCATCAATATAGACAGATGTTCCTTCAACCAGTGCAGGCAGCACAGAATCTCTCAGTACCTTAGCTGATGGTTTCATTGGTCACCGTGGCCAGAATACTCATCGCCTACAATTCAACCTTTCGACAATGGGCCTCTCTACACTTAGCTAGGCTGCTTCGTGGTTGGTCGTCTATCTCCAGGACTGTGCACACAGCTTTCCCAGCTTTAGAAGACTAGCTAGAGTTCAGACTTCACGGGCATTGTGTTTGAGAACCCCACATCACCTCTAAACTATTATGAAGTGAAAGAGAAAGACTTTAATGGAGGATGGAGAACCTAATGCCTGCATCCTATCCTTGGCCCATGCATTAATATATACATTTGCCAAAAAATCAAATTCTTACTGAAAGGGGACACTGCTTCAAAAGTTCCCAAGTATTCGTCATTAAGAATGTGTAGGAATTCTTGCTTCTAGTTTCCTTATCATTAAACAAAAATGAAAAGAGAAAACTTTGAGATACTACACATTTGACCAGAAAATAAAATTCTGATGTATTCAGGAGAGGAAAAGAAACAACATGAAGGAGAACTGGCACTGAGGTCGGAAAAACTTGGCTTGGGGAGCCACCTCTGACTCATGTTGGCTCTAGGACCCTCAGCAAATAAGTCACTTAACTGTCAATGCCCCCAAGCAATTCTTTAAGGCTATAAGTTGCAGAGAAGGTCCCTACCTACATTGATAGAAGTATTTTCATCATCTGAGAGTTCCCTGTACTAATTACAAAGGTCCAGTGCTTCTACTGTCCTAGAAGAGGGATACAATTCTAGGGAATTTTTAAAAAGGGAAAACTAGTTTCATGTATAAAGTTCACAGTGGCACATAAAATCTTTATTGGTATTCCTTGTATTTTGAAATAGTCAAGTCTGTTAATGACCTTTGTGATCTTAGGCAAGTCATTTTACTTCCCTGGGCCTCGGTTTCCTTATCTGGAAAATGTGGAGACTGGAATAGGTGATGAAAGACTATACAAGAGATTGGAAAGATCCTTGGTTTCAACTGATATTGTCTGTCCTGGTCCCGCTATGAATAGCACCTTGGAAATTAGAGAGAGTATGGGCTATCTACAAAACCAAACTAGACATTTCAGAATTTTGTAAAATCAATAATTGCTGTCCAAATGATATGCATGCTGCCCTAAACGTAACAGATGGCTTTTAATTCTTTGCTTGACTTTGTGACTTTAGATCAAGGTTAAGTCACAAGGCAGGGTTACATAGGCTCCATCGCACAAGATTTAGAAGTAGAATGGATCTCAGAAATCAATCCCCTCATTTTACAGGTGAGAAGAGTCTTACAGAGGTTAAACTGAAAAATGACCTGCCCAAAGTAACAATAAGTAGTCGTGATTCAAATCCAGGTTTTCTGACTCCATGCACAGTGATCTTTCCATTGCATGATGTCTCCTCATTCCATGAGCATGAGAGGTATTTAAATAATATTGTCAACACTCTGACCTAAGAAGCCATTAGCCATGGAAAATCTTCCCCTACCTTCCTCTCATGTTTTCCTTAGAAGCCCAGGCTATTGCTGGCACTAATTACAAGCTCTTGGCAGAGAAGGGTTTCCTCCTGGCCTTCATCCAGTGGGACTTTAACTATTGTTGTCAAACAAATACTTTCTTTAGCAAGATGGAAAAGGGGGAGGGAAGGAACCAAACATTGTGTCTACTGTGTGTCCAACATGGTGTTACACACTTTACAAATGTTTAATTTGATCCTCATAATAACCCTGGGAGATAAGTGCTATTATTATCTCTACTCTATAGTTGAAGAAACTGAAGCAGAGATTAAGTGACTTGCCTAGGGTCACTCAGACAAGTAGTATCTGAGGCTATATTTGAACTAAGGACTCCAAGTCCAGCACTCTACCCACTCTGCCACCTAGTTATTTCTCCTGGGCATGAAAGAAGGGTGATAAGAGTCAAGTACTAAAAGATTCTGAGCTGTGTCCCGTGGAACTCATTGTTTTTACCTGTAAAAAGATTTAGGAACAGAAGGAAGATGACAAAATGTATCATTACGATAGTACTCACTATGTGTCGGGCTGCAAAAACTCCATCGACAATCGCACAGCAGAATGCTGCCACCACGCCAAAGCTGATAAACACTATGGCAGCTACCAACTATAAGAGAAAAGAACAAAGGTGGAATGGGCATGTGTCCTTCTAGAACAGCAACAACAGAAACTTTTAAAATATGAGACAACATAAATTTCTCAAACCAGCAACAATTTCGATTTTACTTTTCTCCCCCAACACACATACACACATACATACAAGCATACACAACACACAATATACACACACACATGATTACAACCTTTTTCTTTATTTATCTTGGTTTATGGTTGAGAAACATGACAAAATTTCACATTGTATAAAGCAGAGGCCCAATACACACAGTCCACAATACTCCCCAGTATTGCATTGGGAAATATATGCCAAAATAAATATATAATAATATATAATATAATATATATTATATATATATATAATAATATATGATAAATATATAAATAAACAATATCACATTTTAAAATCAAGTCAGTATGAAGGCTGCAGTGATCTTTATGCACACTCCACTCTGCTCTATTTGAGTTGGACATCACTAGCATAAAGGACTTTCTCAGATACCTCAGAGATTTACTTTCAATGCCAACTCTATGATCCTGAGTGTGATTCATTTTACAGGGCTCAATGGCGGGCTCTCTCATTCCTGAGTTATAGATAAAATGTTAGAAGTGGAATTTAGAGCATTTCTGGAAATGTTTTTATAGATCAGAATTTTGCTTGTGGGACCCACATAGGTGGCTGGGATAGAGTGGATGGGTAAATAGAGTGCTGAGATTAAACTCAGGAAGTTTCATATATTTGAGTTCAAATCTGGCCTCAGATACTTACTAGCTGTGTGACCCTAAGCAAGTCACTTAACCCTGTTTGCCTCAGTTTCTTCATCTGTAAAATGAAATGGAAAAGGAAATGGCAAACCACTCTAGTATCTTTGCCAAGAAAACCCCAAATGGCGTCATAAAGAGTCAGACATGATTGAAAACAAATCAACAACACATATGTTCATAGTCATGGGATGAAAAGTCTTATGCAGTGAGATGAGCACTGGATTAAGAGTGAGAGGATCCCAATTCAAATTCTGTTACTTATGACTTATATGCCATTTGGTAGCCATCTAACATTTTGGGGACTCTTGCCATCAGCTGAAAATGAAGAGGCTGTGAAAACATAACCTATTTGGGGAAAGGAATCCCTGTCTAATGAGAACTACTTTGAAAACTAAAAAGCAGTTTGGCGAAAGATGGGTTTCAACTGGCACCTCAAACCATACACCACAATAAATTCCAAATGGTTAACTGACTTAAATATTTTAAAAAACTGACTATAAATATAAATATAAAAATATAAAAAGTAAAATAAATAAATGAACGAATAAATAAATAAATAAATACATGAAAAATAAATTTAAAATAAAATTTTAAAGACCTGGAGAAAATGGATAAAGGTATTTTTTCATACCTATAAGGGAAGAATTCTTTCCCAAAGAAAGGATAAAGGAGATCACAAAAGATAAAAGATAGCTCTGGTTGGATGATTGAAAAGCACAAATTTTGTATGAACAAAATTATAACTAGGATTAAAAGCTATTATTGATTGGGAAAATTGCATTGAATCTCTATGACAATCCAATATCACAGATATTGGAATTAATACAAATGTATAAGACCAAGAGCCATTCTCTGTTAGATAAGTGGTCAAAGATATGAACATACACCTCTTTTAAAAAACTGCAAACCATACTACTAAAATGTGTGTACCCTTTGACCCAGAGATCCTACTGCTATGCACATTTCCCAAGATGGCAAAAAATAGGTCCTATATAAGCCAAAATATTTATAGCATTTATGTGTGTAATAGCAAAGAACTGAAAATGAAGTCAATGTCATTCTACTGGGGAAGGGCTGAACAAATTGTGCTACATGAGTATACATGAATAACATTCCATCGGAAAGTTATTGCATTGTAAGTGAGAATGAATATGAAGAATAAAGAAAACCATGGGGAAACACATGGACTGATACAGTGAATTAACAATACATATAATGTAACAACAATGTAAATGGAAAAAATGACGTCCCACCTCACTCACCCACCCACCTACCTCCCCTCAAAAAACTGAACACTGTATTAATTACAATGATTATATTTAACCCTGGAGAAGAGGATTTGCACCTCCCTCCCATCTTTGCAGGGGTGGGGGAATAGATATATAGTCTTAGACTATGATGATATGTTGGTTAATTTTCTTCTCTCCTGCTCTCTCTCTCTCTTCTGTCTCCCTCTCTCACTCCTTGCCTCCCTCTCTCATTTGTTACATGATGCTCTAGGTAAGTGAGGGGAAAGGTATATATTTGGAAATGAAAGTGATATAAAAACACAAGGTATCACTAAAAAATTTGAAGAATTGGCAACTATTAACAACCATTTGAAAGATGATTTCAAATTACTAATAAGAAGAAGAAATGTAACAAACAGGGACATACATTTAAACACTGATGCCATCTTTGCTTCTTCCATCTGTATATCTTCCTAAGTGCAATTACATAGGAAATCCTGTGATTCCAATTCCATAATCTTTACTGTATTCATTCCCTTCCCTCTGCACTTAGGGTCTATTGTAGTTCAGGCCCTTATCGTCTCTTTGTTTCTGGCAGAAAAATGACAAGATTTCCATTTTAGACTACTGTAATGGCCTCCTAACTGGTCTTAATTCCCTTTTCTCTCCTTTCTAATACATCTTCTACAGAGCTTCTAAAATGATCCCATGCTCCAGAAACAAGAGTGGCTCCTTATTACCATTAGGATAAAATGCAAGCTCTCTTAGGGATTTAAAGCTTTTCACAATATGGCTCTAGTCTACCTTATTGTGCATTATTATCTTTCATGAATTTCAGTTTTGAGCAAAAATGATCTACTTGCTGTTCCCTGTACCTAACATTCCATCCTATCTCTCCATGATTCCTTGAATTGTTTCCCATACCTGGAATACACTCCTTTTAGAATTCCTTACTTCTTCCAAGACTCAGCTCAGGTGACAGCTCTTACAAAAGGTTCTCCATGACTCACTCTCTTCCCCATTTGCTAGAGCCTTCTCTCTCACTAATATTATTTGTATATATTTTGTATTTATTTATATGTGCATTTGTTATTTCTCCTGTCCCCCACCCCCAGCCAGTAGAATGCAAGCTCTTTGAGGATAGGGATTGTCTTATCTAAAATTTGCATCTTTTCTAGCACTTAGCAAGATGTTCTATACATGGGAGTTATTTAGCAAACATTTGGTAGTAGACATGAGTTGCTGTGAGTGGATTGCTTTCTCAATTATAGAAAGGTGATCTATTATTTTTGGTGAATGGATAGATGGATGGACAAATGATTGAATATGAAGCCTTGGTGCTAGCAGTGAAGTTTATAAGAGGGGTAAAGGGTTGCCAATGCTGCTTTTTCCATTCTCAAAAAGCAATTTCTGGCAAATTATGGCAAGGTAAGGAGGGCCAGTGGTCAATGGCAAGCAGCTTGGAGATCTACCAGCAAATTCCAGTCTCCTGGGCTGGGGAGCCCAATAGTTGAGGTACATAAAGTATTCATGCCCTACTACTCTTAGATTTTAAACTTAATAGAGGTTTACCCAACCTTTCCAGTTACAAATATGATTCCCTGTGATAATAGAAATCTGTGGAAAAGATGTTAATTTTGTCCTCCTTCCTAAAAGGCAATGATGTCCCACATCAAAAAATCTGAATTAAATCAACTTTCTCAAGTTTACCAATAGTACCCTTGTTATAAGACTACAGAATTATATGTCTTTGTCTGGAAAGTGTTTGCTGAAATCTGACCTTGATCTGTTTCTCCTATTTCACACATGATCAACTTATTGATGATTTACAACAGAAAAATCAAAAACTTTTTTCCTTCTCAAGAGAAAGCAGTTATATACATATTTAGTTAGTGATTCTTCCATTCAATTTAATTTAGACTATTAAGGCCATTTCTTCACAGACATGACCAAAATATTCACTTAGTTTCCTCCCCGCTACATGACCTGCTCTGACCAAGCCTCCATAGAACCCCAGGGAATGCAGATTTGACACTTTTCATTGGGCATCTAAAAGCATGACTACTGTTGTTGAAAGGAGAAGACATGGGACTTGCAGAAGGGAAGAAGAATCAAAGCAAGAAAGCAGAAGAAAGCTATAGAGTTATCCTGCCTCTGACACTTGCTCATCTTATGATCTTGGCAAGTCACAACCTTTCTGGGACTCAGTTTTCTCATCTGTAAAATGAAAGGATTGGAATACATGATCTCTTCTGCTTAGCACAGTGCCTGGAACATAGCATTAATAAATGCTTATTGATTGACTTCTAGGAGTGATTATAGCAAGAAGACTGGATCTCTCCATCCTACCCATGCTGGAAGTACAATAGTCATTCAAGAGTCAATCTCATTACTAATTGGCGTGAAAGTTTTGACCTGCCCCATGTCCAACCTGGAGAGTTTACCACTCCTTAATCAGCCTGGTGATTCCTGACTCCTGGGTGCTGACCATATTGGTGCCATATTTAGTATGGATACCTGATCACCGTTAGCCCTACTGCAGGTCAGAACTTCCAAATACAAGTGACCAACCCAGCAACCTCTGCCTCCCCAGGAGCATGGACTACAGGTATGCCTCACCACACCCATTAGAAGATCCCTTCTGAGGACCATCCTACTTCTAGATCTATGATCCCTCTTCTTTTCCTGAAGTAACAAGCACTACACAGAGCCTACTTTTTCCTTCTCCGAAATAACAGCTTATATTTTTAGTTTTCCCCAAAGTAATCCTGTGATCTATAGGTTGTACAAGCATCTTTAGCCTGATTTTACCAGTAGGAAAATTGAATCTCAGAGAGGTTAAACAACTCATCTAAGGTCACATGACAATAAGTAATAGAGCTAAGTCTTAATCCCAGGCCTTCTCATTTTAAGACCAATATTTTTTGCCTTATGCTAAAATCCCTACAGAGGTATATTTTCACAGAAATATATTACCTTTGTCTCTAATCCTCTACCT